CGTCTTCAGGCTCTAAAACACCATTGTTGTGTAAATTAATGGGCTTTTACATTTTTACATTTTATAACGGAGTCATCTAAACACCACCTTCAGTCAATTTAATTACGTTACATTAAGTTGCATATGTATTCCCAACATTTTATTATGTAAGCTCTATATTATGCTCAAATGAATTATAGTCATTTTAATATTCATTAGCCAGACTACATAGTCTCTAAAATGGATTGGGCATGCAGAGAATACATAAATAAATCTAGCCAAGTGGCCTGATCTGACTTCACACTTCCTGTCCGCTTTCACCTTTCATACTGATCGTCTTGACTACAGCTTTCCCTCTCAGCTCTGTTTGATAAGTTATCCTCAGCAAACCTGTAAGTTTATTAGCCTTGTGCGTTTCCTGTGCCACTGCCCTGCATCAATGTCAACTTTCAGAGCCGTACGTGAGCAGGGGGGAGAGCGGCCACAAAGGGATCTTTCTGTAGCCTGCTGCTGCGCTCCTGTCTCTGACCTACATGCCTCCCTCTTTCACTGCATTTCTCAGCAGCTTCTCAAACCCGCAGACCCAGACGGAAACATTGAACAAGTCAGGGAGTTCTTCCCAGCAAACCCCAACCAAGAGACGAAAGATGAAGGAAAGGAAAAAGATCTCACACTTCAGCATCAGAGGGCATATCCGCCACCTTCCTTTGCTATGGCAATTTTCAAACTTTATTCATGCGGTCTGCACTGAAGGTGCGTTCACATTTACAGTGATCTGCTTCTTGTTTACATGTTCACTCTTTCAAGACTTTAAGTTCTAAGCTGTGCTGATTGATTCTAAGGAGACTTGCATGGTTTGAAAGGACAAGTGTCATGTGATGGGCATGTTAGTGTTCTGTTCACACGTTCTATATTACATTAGTATGACAATCGGAATGTGAATGTTAAAGTTTAAAAGTGTAAAAAGGAAATGTTTATTTTTTTTCAAGCTGCAATGTGTTTAGAAGTTGAACAGTTTATTTAATAAATTATTGGACTGTTCCCAATTTTGATCTGTCTCGATCATATTTTTTTGCACATTTTTTTTTTACACACAGAACAACACATTTAAACTGAATATAAAAAAGCATTTATCTCTTTAAAACATATTTTATTATTTCAACAAATTTCCAAATAAGTTAAGAGACTGACCTGGCTGAGACATTTGTAAGGAACAAGAGAAAGTATAACATTTGACATCTCTGAGACATTTTCAGTTCAGAAAATAAGGCATATTTACCTCATATTTTACAGTAAAAACACCCCCCCCCCAAAAAAAAAAAAAAAAAAAACCCAATCAACTAGCATTAATTTAAATCCTGACATTTATCGTTGTGCAAACATACAACATTATACGTATTTTGTTTGTTTTTGTATATATAATTACCTTCATGTCTTTTAAAAACATGGTCAGCTGCTATATGGAAGAACCATTGTCATATGGTCATAAGTCATATGTTATTTCATTGCCACTAACAGCTCTCAGATTTGTAGAAATCTAGATTTTTTTACAGTACAGCTCACCTTCCATTTTACCAACTTCCTTTGGTATTTATGAGTTTAGAGCACCTGAGTGCACACTGGGATGAGGGTTTGTCAGTTGGAGAATCCCAAAGAATGCAAATTGATATTGGTCATAAAAAGGTGTAACTCTACATATTGATAGTACAGTTGAGTTTTTAGACATTTTATGTGCTGTTGAAGAAGAATAGCCCTAAAGTTTGCCAGAAAGTAATACTTCATAGGGTTTATAAGGGTAACAGGCTTGCACAAAGTTTGCATCATTCTTTGCGGTAACACGGGAATGATTAAAATGTTACGATAAAGCACAATTACACAAATAATGTGCATCATTTGCTCTTAATTTTGTTGCACTGGCACTAAAAAGCAATCTGTATTTTGTCGGAATGTTAAAAAAATAAGAAAAATGTGGTGTCCATTTTATTTCAATGAGAATGACTTAAATGCACATCATTTCAAAATTAAAATTTCCAAACTAGTAAATAGGATTTTTTTTTCTAGTGGGTCTATGATGAACGAGTGCTATTGCAAAACGCCCTGAACCAAAGTTGTTTAAAGGAGTCATATGATGTTGCTAAAAATAACATTATTTTGTGTATTTGGTGTAATGAAATGTGTTTATGCGGTTTAAGGTTAAAAAAAACATTATTTTCCACATACTGTACATTATTGTTTCTCCTCTATGCCCCGCCTTTCTGAAATGTGTCGATTTTTACAAAGCTCATCGGTCTGAAAAGCGAGGTGTGCTCTGATTGGCCAGCTATCCAGTGCGTTGTGATTGGCCGAATACCTCAAGCGTGTGACGGAAATGTTACCATATTGTGATGCCCTGTCCGGCCGGAGCGACGAGACAAAAACATTAAAAGTCATTATAAACGAGGCATTTGTTGCATCCAGTGGGGACATAATTACAGATTATAATGACTTATACTGTCTTTGTATGCGTTGCGTTGCATCGCGCTACGTAAACATAAAACCATGTCTGCATTTGTGATCGGAGAAATGACAAACAACAAGTGCTACTCTACACTGCTCAAAACTCGCATTTGAATCGTCAGTGGCAAATTCTTTAAATATAAAAAACGTACTTACAGACTGTGAGTCAGAACAGCCGGCATTGTAGTCTACTCTACCAGGATCAGGAAACAGTCCTCCATAAAATGCACTGGACACATCTGAATATTTGGGTTGAACTGTTCTGGAACAGTGTTGTAAATACAACTTAACCACTGATTTCTAGTCGTGTCCTCTTTTGGAAGGCCAAACAAAGTAGTTTCGCTTTCACAACGAAACACACGGCGGGCTAGAGTGAGCTGAGGCGGAGGCCTAGCGTGAGCGGAGGGCGGCGGCTTAGATTGAGCGGAGGCTGGCTTGAGTGAGCGTCGGCTGGCGGGCTTGAGTGAGCGGAGGCGGGCGGGCTTGAGAACGGCGCGGCTGGCAGATTCGACGAAGGAGCATCTGGCGGGCTTGCGGCAACCACATGTGACGACCCCGGGTACCATTGGCTGACAAAAAAAGAAAGTTGAAGCTGTGCAAATTATAGAAAATGCCATACTTATAATAAGCAGCAGCTCAGTGATTGCATTTGAGTGTGTGAAGCCATGAGTTGAATCAATGGATGACTTAATGGATTAACTTCAGGAAGCCTATCAAGACAATGTCTGGATCATATTTCACTCCACAAAGAGAAAATAAAAGGAGTTTTAAAACAATTTTTCCAATGAACAGAAAGTTACCTTACATTTACTATGATTCATGGTAGTGTCTGATGATTATGTATTTTTCAAACTGGATCAAAACGCACTAATAATGCAAACACTGAAATGCAAAATCTGAAATGAAATCTTCAATAATTAAACAATAATAAAAAACAATATCCTCACACTCAAACTATTTTACATGTGTAGGGATGCACCTGGCCTTAAGTTATCTGCAGGAGTTTGCTTGAACTGATTCGCTGAAATCAAAACAGGGACGACACTAGGTGAGCACCAGCCAATGAGATTGACGTTTGCGCATTAGTTCCGCCTACTACAGGAAAACCCGGCAGTTCTTAAAAGCTGAAGAATTCCAAAGGAACTTTGTTATTTTTACAGGAAAATACAACAAAGTATATCGTTTACATGTAGCGCATCAATTCTGCATGTTATGTAAGACTCTCGCTCTTTGCTCACAGTGAGAGAAAGCGACGGTGAGTCGTGCGCCTTCACACTAGAAACACATTACGCCAAATACACAAACACAGGTGCGCTGCGCATCCATTCAGATGAACTCTCTGACCGATACCCAATCCGAGAAAAATGGCACTATCGGAGCCGATACCCGATATGTATATCGGATCGGCGCATCCCTAATACAAACATCGATGGGAGTGTCATGCAAAGAACAAATGCTTTTCTTTTCAAAGGTGACGTCATGGAAAACTGTACTTCCCATTACTTTTACATATTTCTCTTGCAATCATAACATAAGTAATTACATATAGAAGTCTAAAGGCTACAGCAAAAACAGCTAATGAAGGGATCAGAGAGAAGATGAAGAATGGTCCAAATTACAATATAAAACTAAGTTACAGTTATTTTTGGTGCATGTAACTTGATTAACATTATAAATGGACTTATATTTAATGATGGATAATGATGTCCTAATTCTGTTGGACTGTAAATCCACAGATCCTCCAATCATCCTTCTCAACACCTCAACATCTTGGAAACAGTTGGTTTGAATCCTACCTCCCGTGTAGATTCTTTAGGGCAGAGATCTCCAACCCTGCTCCTGGAGATCTACTGTCCTGGTTGACTGGAGAATCTGTATATTTATAGTATCAAAAGATGCAAACAAGACCAACAGAATAGAATCTCCTACCCTGCTCCTGGAGAGCTACCTTCCTACAGATTTCAGTTCCAACCTTGCTTCAACACACCTGTCTGTAATTATCAAGTAACCCAGAACACCTTGACTAGCTGGTTCCGGTGTGTTTGAGGAGCTTAAATCTGCAGGATGGTAGCTCTCTAGGAGCAGGGTTGGAGACCCCTGCTTATGGTATCATGGAAGGGAACTGTATCCAAGTTACATCAAGTAACCGCAGTGGTGACTCAAGGATCAGCACATTGCCTCCTCTTTTTCTCAATGTGCACAACATTGCTTGGACCCATCATGGACCCATGGATTTTCCTACCACATCTATGCCAACAACACATAGTTCTACTTCTCTTTCTTGCCTTGGGCTTCCCAAATCAAGGCTTGCCTAGTAGACTTCTTGGCCTGGTTAAAAGTAAAACAACTCTTAACTCAACTTCTCAACTCAAACTAGCAAAAGCAGAACTCCTTGTCTTCTAGCAAGCCCACAATTCAGCAACATCATTCAGCAAGGCCTGTCAGAGAACACCACATCCAGATCAAACAAGAAGTTGCAGGTAGTGCACAGACCAGCTTCACAGACCATTGCAAAGGCTGCCCGGTCATGTAGATTTGCACTGTACTTTATCGAGAAGATCAGGTTCCATCTGGGCAATCTGCATATTTCCTTGTTCAGTGAACTCTAGATTCTGGAATAATGCAATGCTCATCAAACATCTGCCAATTTTTTCAAATATATGGTTGTTCACTTGGTCTTCAATCAGACCAAGAGTATAGAACAACCACTGGTTATACATCTGTACCCTCCTACCTACATTCACTTTCACAAATGTATCCTTATCCCACAAGTCTGGTCGGTATAAGTGAGTGAAGCTTTCTAGAATATTAACTTTCTTATCCTGAATATTAACTTTACTAAACCTCCATGCGGGAATGATCTTTCCTACTCTACCCAAACAGCATCTGCTAAATGAATAAATGTAAATGTTTGCTCACTTGCTCCAAGACGTTGTCAGTGAAAATTCGGGTATAGTTGGGATGGATGTATTTCTCTCTCCAGTCCTGTGAAAAAGAAAGAGGATTAGAACTTTAGCCCACTGAGTGACCTGCATTGCAAACAGTGATTAGATCTGCATTAATCCGGCAGGCGGACTAAAACCTAGATGGAGGTCAACACAGACGTATGTTTACCCTGTCAGCACTCCACTTCATTATTGATGACAAATGTAGCACTAAATGAACACTTCTGGACCCTGATGTTTTTTAATTGTACCAGACACTTTGTATACAGAAAACATTCACAAATCACAAATCATCTAGTCACTCACCAGTGGGTTTTCAAATATTTGCCAAAGGTCATTGTTATAATGAGATGTGTTATAGTTGGCAGTCGAAATAAGCCTTCCAAACTCATGACGATTTGTAACATACATGAAAACTCCCTGTGGTGGACAAAGAAAAGGTAGTTAGATACTTCAAATTCTGTCTATAATCGAAAAAGTCCAAAGTTAACAAAAAATAAACATTGTAAAATGAGCAATAAAGAAAACACATCATGCAAATAATTTCAAGTCGATGATAAAAACAGATCACAAATAAGCAGCATAATCTGTGATAGTGTGTAATCAATAACAATGGAGGACAGATGTTGGGAAGGGCTGTGAGAGGGAATTGCTGGGAACACAGGGAAGTGCTGGGAAAAGTGCAATTCCAGGAATCAACATTCCTGTTTACTTTACTAGAAGCAGGGACAAGGTTTCTTGCATCTAAGTCTGGGAAGGTCAAGACTTGCTCTCAGTCTAGGCTTCACTAAAACAAGTCTAGCATCAATATCAAACATATTAGCGTAATTGTTCAAAGCAATGCAAACATACAAAGGTAACAAGTGTTACATAAATACCTAGACTGAGATAAGTCATGGAGGTAGTGAGGGTAAGTTTTATGTTACTGGTACTAGTGTGCTTGGAAGGGGGTTGCTCTTGGATATAGATGTTACTGCAGGGAAAACTATAATGCAGGAAATCTATTAGATCCTTCATTGGCCTTTCCACCACTGTGTAGAATAGTGTGTAGAATGTCATGGTTCAGTGTATATATATAATATCTGGTGCTTTGTCCAGGTTAACCCCATCAGAAAAAAGCAGATGTAGCTTATCAAACGTAGCATCACTTTTCCAAAGGGTTCCGCTTGTTAGCTGAACACATCTGTCAGTGCAAGATGTATTCTAAAATGGATTTAATTTTAAATCAAATGTTTGAATGCCTACCAGCACATGCACATACATTTATGGAATAGAAAAACCATGAAACAACCACATTGAGCTTGAAATGGAGATTTATGGTTTTTCCACATGCATAGTAATTCATCTCAAAATTGGTTCACCATGTCTTCTGGGATTATATGTTCTGACAACACTGTTTGTGATCTTGAGATTACACATATTGTAATGAACCCCAAGCAAGCAAATATTAAATGTTAATAGACCATTCCCTTCACAAATGAGCATTAATATCTGGTGCTTTGTCCAGGTTAACCCCATCAGAAAAAAGCAGATGTAGCTAATCAAACGTAGCATCACTTTTCCAAAGGGTTCCGCTTGTTAGCTGAACACATCTGTCAGTGCAAGATGTATTCTAAAATGGATTTAATTTTAAATCAAATGTTTGAATGCCTACCAGCACATGCACATACATTTATGGAATAGAAAAACCATGAAACAACCACATTGAGCTTGAAATGGAGATTTATGGTTTTTCCACATGCATAGTAATTCATCTCAAAATTGGTTCACCATGTCTTCTGGGATTATATGTTCTGACAACACTGTTTGTGATCTTGAGATTACACATATTGTAATGAACCCCAAGCAAGCAAATATTAAATGTTAATAGACCATTCCCTTCACAAATGAGCATGTATTACTACATTTATTAATGTGTGGTTGGAATATCACTTTCTAACCATTTGGAAAAGTGATGGCGTGCTTTAAAACATTTGAATCTTAAATTATGCATGATAGAATAATCAAAACAAGAGGAACCTGTGGGGGTCTGAGCATTTGGAATGATTCCGGAGAAGGAGATTCTCTTTCTCTCTGTACTGTCTAAAATGAAGGAAAAGCACCATGTAAATTATATAATGAGACATAAACAGAGTATGATACAAAGAGAGAGAGACAGAGATTAAGAAATTAGAATATTATAGAAGATATGGGCACAACACATATACGATATTAAACTCTACCAGAGCAGTAGAGATGCCTGCAAACTCTTGTATCGAGGTTTTTTAGTTGATTTTCAGCTCAGAAAAGGCTATGCGCTGCCTTTAGGTGTCCTAAGCAGTTAGCTGTAGACAGTTAGAAGAACATCATAGTTAGTTATTAGTGGTGTATTTTGTTCAAGGAGGAGTAAAAAGCGCACAGCCAGACATTCCCATTGGATCAAGGTCCCATGATGGATGTGAAAGAGGGAAAGGATGATGGGCAGAGAACATTTTGAATGCATGACAGAGGCTGTCATAAATGAATGGAGGTGCCATGCCTTCACAATAGCACATTGATACTTTGAATAATTGCCAGTTACATCTTGGTCACAGAGCTGCAGCAGATGTTTCAAAGCATTGAGAAATCAGGCTAAATTGTCATATGCAAACTAATACAGAACAGTTTCTGTTTTTAGAGTTGAATTGCTTGATGATCTACTTATGGAAGCCCATTTCCTCAACTGAATAAAAAAAAGTTATTGTGACTTTATATCATAATTCTGTTTTTTGTTAGTTTTTTTTGCAATTCTGAATTGCGTGATATAATTACAAGTTACAAACTCACAATACTAAGGAAAAAAGTCGGTTTCCCTTTCCCTTTCTCTCATTGGCTGTGAGTGGCTTGATCTCCTTTGGCGGGTCTGAGGAGGAAGTTGTTGCTGATGACTCCATGTCGCTGACAGCTTCAGATGCTGAAGAGAGGGCATGCTCTGGCGAGGACCCAGACACTCTCCCTACGAAGCAACCAACATGGCCCCGCTTAGACAGCGAGCTGATCTGTGTTCTCTTTAAGGCTGTGGAGGACCTCGGCTTTGACTGGTCCCACCCACGGCCACTTAGAGGAGCGGTACCTGCAACGGTCTGCCCCATTCTTCCCAGGGGTTCACGGCGAACTAACCAGGATGTGGCGTAGCCCCTACTCAGCACATGTTCATTCCTTCACTTCTGCCACTCTCACCACTGTTGAGGGCACTGAAGAAAAAGGTCGTTCCACATCTCTGCCCTCCATCAGCCCTGGGATTGAAGACCCATGCAGCTCGCTCATCTAAGCCCTGCAGGACTGCCTCCACTCTGGCAGGCAGGGCTTATACAGCAGCTGGCCAGGCTGGCTCAGCATTTCACATAAAGTCGGTGCTCCAAGTTTTTCAGGCCAATCTTCTCTGCACCGTCCAGCCAGAGTTCCAATGCCTTCAAGGAGCTGCGCACAGTGACTGACCTGGCTCTACACGCTACAAAGGCCACTGCACAGGCAATTGGAAAGGCCATGGCCAACCTGGTGGTGGTGGAGTGCCACATTTGGCTAAACTTAACGGAGATCAAGGACACTGACAAGATCACCTTCCTCGACTCCCCAGTCTCTCCCAAGGGACTGTTCAGCCCTGCCATGGATGGATTTGCTGAGCGGTTTATGGCAGCACAGAAGTCATCACAGGCGATGCGTCACTTCCTGCCGAAACGCTCCAGTCTGGTGGTTGGTACAGATCGCCAGAAGGCTACGCAATTGTAAGAAAAAAGCCAGATTTGTGATATAAAACGTCACAATTATCTTTTTTTATTTCAGTGGCGGAAACAGGCTTCCATATCTACTCTCCTACATTCCTCCCTTATTACAAATCCAGCTCTATCAACAGAAACCATGACATTTTGAGACAATACTTTTGAAACATTAAGTATATATTGCAACAGTTTTCTGGTGTCTTCCATTGTAATGCTTTACTGTAAATGTGATCTTTTCCCCCCTGTGATTAATAAACAGCATGCCATAAAAAAAAATAAATAAATAAATAATATATTTTTACATTAATTACACAGCAACAAATTACATTGCACACCTAACTAATTAAAACTCTAGACTATTATAAAATAAATGCTATGATTGTTGCTGATCTAGATTAAATATATAATTACTATAATTGTACAGCTTTGTGTTTCAGCGGTCATACCAAGTCTCTGGCATTCCTGCACATGGCCATGTCGGGGTCCAATCTCTCCAAGACAAAGACATTCCTATTTTTGAGCTCATTCCGCAGAGTCTGGCCCTTTATGAGGTAGATGTGGGCCATGAAGGGGATGTTCCACACACCACTATTTACACAAGGAAAGACAAAAGAATATATAAAAAATAGTAACAATGCTTGGTATTATAGAGTCATATTTTAATACAATGTTAAAATAGACTTTGTTAGAGACATGTCCTGGTGAGCAATCGACATGCTAAAAAGTAATCTGAGTTTGAATAGTGTACTCTTTTTGATTCAGAGAAGGATAGATGCAATTTCTTAATGTTCCAATAAGATTATATACAGTGAAATATCAGATCTTAGTCATTTATGGATCACATCCTCCAAAATACTCACACACGCTTTCCTTGCACAATGTCAATGTAGTCCTCAGATCTTGCATAATAACCATCCAGGCTCAGGGCTCCCCAAAAGTTGGACCACAATTTTCCATGCCGGGTGACAAGAGGGCCAATTATTTTTCTGAGGTCGAAAAAACAAAACAAAAATCAGCACATAAATCAGCAACAGTCCATAAATGTACTATGATAGGCCTATTATGCAAGATACAATGCTGCTTTTTTGCCACCACAAGAAGACCCTAAAATTATAGAAACACTGAATGCAATGTCGACATTTGCTGACAACAAAACAGGTTCAGATTTGCTGTAGTGCTCAATTAATTTTCCAGGATGACACTATCGGGCAGCATTGTGGCAGGAAGGTCCCCGGTTTGAGCCAGAAGGCCTTTCTGTGTGAGTTTCCATGATCTCCTGTGTTGGCATGGGTTTCCTATGGGTGCTCAGGTTCAGTGGTTTTCCAACATTTTTAAAAGCGACCCTTTTTTTCCTTTTTTTAAATTGAAGTGACACTTATATACATACATTATCACAAAAAAGCTGTCACTCAATTTTAGTTTATCGCGATCAAACAACATTCCGTTATGCTCAATAAAGCTCTCTACATTGCACAATGAATCTCTTATTTATATTGTGTCTAAACTTTGTTTGTTATAAAGACAGGATTCACGAGTTTGCGTAAAAAAAAAATTGGTTTTGCGTTTTGAACATTTTGTTCGGTGAGTGGATTTTAACTTAAACACCTCTGATTGGCTATTGTGTTCAAGAAATCAACAGACATGTCTCTGATTGGCCACACGGCTCAACGCTGCAAAAACACATAAATAAAAAAACCTTTGAAGCCGCTTTCCACAGAGCAAACACAAATACGCATTGGAATCTGCCGTGTCACAGCTGCCGCTTACTTTCGTTTTATTTTTTTATGATTATTTTGTTATTAAAGTTACATTTGCCGGTTTCTGCCTCCTTCTTTCATGTGTCTTGAACTTTGTTACATGCATATACATACATATATATATATATATATATATATACTGTATATATATATATACACATTTTCCTTAAATTATCCTGGCGACCCAACCGAGGGATGTGATCCTGGGTTTGAAAACCACTGCTCTGATTTCCCGCACAATCCAAAAGACATGCAGTATAGGTGATTTGGACAAAATAAATTGCCTGTAGGTGAGAATGTATGTGTGTGTGTCCGTGTGTTAGCCCTATGACACATCCATGATGTCCCCTGACTGCAGCCCGAGATGCTGAGAAAGGCTCCAGCATCTCTGCGACCCTACAGAGGATAAGTGGTTTGGAAAATTGGTGGGATGGATTGGTTTAATTAAAGTTAGCACATAAGTGGTTACCATGATCCATATGAAAACATATACTTGTGAGGTTGTGAAGAAGGCATCCTTTTATTCGGGCACATGAGAGCAGTCTTATATGGTATTGTTCCTATAATCATGAGAGTGACCCTGGAGTAACACAGTCAAGTCCTTCACCTCTATTGTGACCTTAAACTCAACAAGCCTACAAAATATCACTTTACTGAGGTAAACATGTCATTCAAAACACATAAGTGGAAATTATAGTGTTGGTCAACAATGTGAAAGCAAGTAAGTAAAATTCCACATTTATACGGTTACTGGTTACGATTTCACTCCACAAGCCAGAGGCCAGCAGAGAGAGTTCCCAAGCCTTCTTAAAATATCTGAAAAGGGCTTCCTCCATAGTCATGCGAAAGAGTGCTTAAGGTTGTCACGTTAAATGTGACTGAGTTCAGCCTTGTTTCTTATTTAAAGTCAAGTGGCATTGCAAGAGTACATGTGATGTAGAGCAGACTGTTTCTATGCACCATGGGAAAACAGGAAGTCACCAGTGCTTATTTTTAAACCTTGAGGGATTTGCATTCAGTCGGCTGTAATGTTCCTGTGGTTTTAGCACATGAGAGATTCAAGTCCGTTCCCTCAGACAAAACGGTTACTGTGGAAGATTCCATATATTTTTTTAAATGCTCGGCATTGATTAAAGGGAAACTACCTGTTTTGTTCGATGAGGAGTTTTATGGTCTGTCGGTTGGTGAGCATCACATCCGCATCGATGCTGAAGTAATAATCACAAGAAAGATCCTTCCGGCACAAATCCCTGTTAGAAAATAGTAAGGCTGTCATTATTAATTCTAGCAAAATTCAGGGCAATGTTGTTTCTATGGAACAGCAAAAAAACTGAATTGAGAGAATTTTGCTAAACTTTTTATTTCCTGAAATGTGACAAACTGCACACATTTGCCAAGCTACCAAAGTATGCAATCAAATGTCAGAGATCTGATTATTAACACAAACATTTCTTAGCAGATTTACCCAAGACCAAATTGCATGAGCCTGCCTGAAGAACATATGAGATCAAGTTGATACTTAAATGAAACATAACTGTGTCCTTGGCTATGAAAGAAAAATATCTGAGCAATATAATGTTCCTCTGAATATCATTCTGTGATCATGCGATTCTGAGTATCATTCTCCTAATATTTAATAAATATTCTTAGAATGCTCTGTTCTGAAGCACAATGGAAGGTGTCTGAAACCAACATCTTCTAATGTCTGCTCTGACGTCTTATGCAAACCAGCATTTATTGGACCTAGTAATTAAGACAAACAACTTGAGTGATATCACCATGTCAACAGCTACTGATGCCAAACACAGACATGCAGTAGGAAAACAGCACCAGGACCAGAGAATCAACTTGTCTACTGCGCATCCTGTAGAGTAGGCCTAAAAAAATATGTGATAGTATAACTTCATACATCCACTAAAAGCTTCTCAGTTATTTATGACTGTCTGTGCAAAAGTTATCACCAATCCAACAAGTCACACACTGAAGTTTAATATGTGGGATTAAGGGTTTATTCAAATTACTAACCCTATTTATGAACAACAGTAATAGTGACACTTAAACAAGCAGCAATAATTACCATCTGAACCAGCTAGTTAAAAGTAATTGTAAAAATAGCTCAGAGAAATCAAGTGAGCATGTCTAGCAGCATTTGTTTGCAGATGCCACTTGTTTTATAGTGTGATAGCTTTTGTGGTAACTGTTTGAAAGCAGACATGTACAAGCAGAATAGTTTTGGAGCTGGGATGGGAATCTTGGAGACAGCAGTGTTTTGGAGAATGCTAAACTAAGAGCAAATAGAAGGGTTCACAGGAGCTTCTTCTGTATTTCTTTGGCACATTGCTATATGATGGGCAGATTTACTGCTTTGTGGTGAGTCGGATGTTGTTTCTGTGTTTTTTATTTGTAAGGAGTTGAAAGGTTTGCTGACATGTGGCAAATCTTTGATCAAGTGTTAGAGCTTGCTCAGATTTGCATTGTAATTTACTTCATTATTTGCATATTTTCAAGAGTGACTCTGAAATTAAAGGGATGTTTACATTCCCATGTTCCTTGCTTCTCCTTGAGTTAAGTTCTCCTCGGGGCCAACAACTTTAAAACTGCGGAATACATCCTTGTTCTCTTCCCAAAACTTCTGTATGTGCTTCTCATGGTAAACCTCCTGAAGAACAAGACATGGAACAAGCACGGTCAAAGACAGACGCTAAAATCCAAAAGGTCAAATGGTTCTCATTGCTTTGCCAGCCAGACACTCACACTGTTATGAACAAAGACATTCAGTTTATCATTGGGATAATCTAGACTCAGGAACCTCTCCAGGAACTCTGGCAGGAATGGAGTCGGCTGCTCAATGTATATACCAACAGTCACTTGTGGAAATTCCTGTTTAGATAAAGAGAAAAGTCTGGTCAAACATTAATACTTTTTCATGCAGTTGAATTATTCACAATGTCTTCACCTAGGGTAGGTGATATAACCCCCCCATATATATATTACAGTAGGAGTCTTTTTATCGCACAGTAACTGTGCATCGCAATATGAATATTTTGCTGGAAACTCAACAAAATATTATTTAGATTGTATTAACCAGGTTCATCCATCCATTCTCAAAAGAGTTTGTTCTCTGTAGGGTCGTGGGAATGCCGGATCCTATCCCAGTGTTTGGCTTGTTTGTATTTTCACTCAGTATTTTCACATTACTTGTTTCTTACTCACATGTGAATAATGTGAATATAGAATAACGAAAATACCTACCATGTTTAAAAATAGTATAGCAAAATAACATATACCATCCAGTCTTATTTTTCACATAGCAAGAAGTGCTGCTGGAGGTCTGAGAGAAAGTAGAAGCTTCTTTCCCATGACATTGAGCTTAAGGTTACATAGATCTGTCACCGCTACTTTTGTGGTTCTTGACCAGTCTACACAGCTCACTAGATCAAATGGGACCTGAGTGGCACCATGTAATTTCCCAGTTCCGACCTTGGCTCGGGGTACCTGAAGGGAGTGTCCTAGAATCGAGCCAGAGCTTTTTTTAAATTGTTACCGACAGAAGAGCAGGGACTAAACAGGAGACACAGGTGATTCTGGGGAGTCTAAACTGGGACAGTTTCCTTTTCAACCTCAGCATAAGCAGTGTGAGAATTTAAACCCTTGTCCCTTTTTCAAGAACCAACCCAAAACCACTGAGCAGATGAGAGTGGTACGACCCAGCCTCTCCCTCATCCTGACAAACAACAGACTCTGGGCTTTGTCTCATCATCCTTTCCAATGCTTCCTAGAAATGAATCAAATGTGTCTGATGGGTTAAAAAATAGGCTTTTTTGTTTCACTTGACCAGTCCTCTGAGGTTCTACCAGTGACCAAAATGAAAAGGTTCTTCCATTTGCGCTTTAATGTAAGATATAGCCCAAGTATACTTTTTTTTTCCAGACCAGACAAAGACAAATAAAGTTCTACTCTACTCTCTCAATTGCATTGTTTCAATTCAAAGTCTTATTCATACTGATCTCTGGTTTTTAATTTTCTTACTGTCCTGGGCTGCGCTTCCCAAAAGCGTTGTAAGCCTAAGTTGATCGTAGCTCCATTGGTGGCAATGGTTCTACGATCAATTTAGGCTTACGATGCTTTTGGGAAACGCAGCCCTGCACTGTTTGTTCTACGGACATATCATATCTTATAATGCGGAGTAATGAGGAAAGTTGTGCTCTTCTAAGTGATAAGTGATTGGACGTCTGCCTGGACAACAATAAAACAAAAAATTCAACAGATTTGTGATGGACGGTTCAAGACATAAGAGTCTAGATTACCATTGAGGATCTTTTGACTTGGGCCAGTAAGCACCTACACAGCTCCACCTACAAACCAACTAGCAATGCCACCAAGCAACCAACGTGAACCAACCAGTTAATTTATTCTTGATATGAAAGAAATGTCGCTACTTCCATTTCATCGCAACTTTAATAACATTCTAGAAACCACTCAGAAAACATTAGCAGTGATAAACATGTCGATGCTCATAAAAGAAAAATTATCAAGTCAGCTCAACATTGTGGTCAATTTTGTGCTGACAAATACTACAAGCAAAAATGTGTTATTTCCGCATCAGTAACTCAAGCTTATTGGAAAGATCTCAAAGCCCTTTTTGCCAACCTTAGTTGAACCCTACGACAAATTTTCAGGACAACCACTGTAAGTTACCCTGTGGATAAAACCCCACACTGAGCAGCCCGCTAAAGAGAGGTCTGGTTGACAGCAACACCCCAGTAAGTGAAACCGTCCTAAAACCAAAAGCCATTTCCTGCACCACAGCAGTGCACAACTTCCACTTCCTCAAGTGGCTCCTCATGGGCATTTATAATTTAAGGAATGTGTAAAGAGACATAGGGCGCATAAGAACCTTGTTGTTGTTGGATACGACACATAACTTCCAAGCTCCACTTCTCTTGGCTTATCTTTGAGTGAAAACTCAAAAGGAACAGCTAGTTATTCACTCAAAATATACAGACATGTATTAATAGAGCTGGAAATGTTTCATTGTCTTAAATGGTGATTTTAGCATATAACTTTCTAGTGCTTAGAGGAAAAGGAACAACATCAGCTACTGTGGCTTTCATTGGATGACTCACTTTAAGCTGAGACAAATCCACCATGTCTTGGTCACAGATGGTACAGCCTTGCTCATAGTTCCACACATTGGGGATGTAGTTGGCCAAGTAATTGAAGTATATCTGTGGGAGAAAATAAAATGACATTTTAGGTACATAGTTATTTATTTTTATAATATTTATAAATAAATAAATAACCTTTAAAACATTTATTCTACATGGTGTAGATGATTTATGCTCCAGAATATGAAATGTACACCCATATTCCATCCCAGCTTGTAGTAGTTAAATCCAATTTTGGTCAAGACAGCAAACCAAAAATGAATCCCTCTGTCAAATTTTCATGACCTACAGTAACTAGAACTGCAATTTGTGCTGGCCTGTTACTTTAGATGTATAACACAACTTACATCAAAGAATGAGTTTTGTATCTCATTTGGAAATTTATAGGACAACGTCGCAGGGAGGGACATTTTGCATCTGATGTTAATTTTGTACTTAAACAGTGTGCCAGATCAAGCAGATGAACTGTTCCGAAGGGAATGATGTTCTTGTTCTTGAAAAAGCACATTAGCTTATAAGAAACAACTGTTTTTATCTTAGATCAGAACACTGAAACAAAATTACTTGTTACCATAAACAGGTTGCCTCAAATTTTGCCAAAAAAGTAAACCTTAACTATTTATCTTTGATTGATGTGATAAAGGTGTAAATTTTGCAGGGACCCACCCTCTGTGAAGCCCATGGGACACCACACCAAATATTATTTACACAAACAGACATTTGCTATATTTACCCCTACAGTACATTTATCACACACAAACAAAATACTACTGTCATGAACATTAGAAATAGGATAATCTGGCAAGATACAATGACAACATTTAATAATTTAGCAGATACTTCTATACAAAATGGCTTGCCTTTATATATGTTTATATATTTATTTAATTAATTCATTCATTGAGAACTGTCCATTGCCTATACTTGGAAACCGGCTTTGAGTTTTTGTTTCCTGGAAGACAAATCTGTGTTCCCTGTTATTTTGTTTACTGGCTATTAGATACAGATTTTGGAAGGACAGCTGTGCACACTCTCATGCTGCTTTCGATTACAGGAAGTTTGAATGTAATAGAAAGGAGGAGATCTTCAATTCAATCACAACCACATTACAGATGGTATCCAGATGCTGTCTTTCTAATTCATCCCATGTTCAGCCATGTTAGTTTTAGAAAATTTAACATTTATAGTTGGCTGCTAAGACTGACAACCCCTTGGAGACGCAGGACGTGCCCTCAAGTGCTGTGAGGTCAATTGGTTAAACATTACTGACAGAAAATAGGAGTTGCTCACTGATTCCCAATGAAGAGAAGCCATAAACCAAGCAACTGGCTTCACATTCTGGTCATAAGCTACTACTGTGTATCCTCAAGCCTTGTTACTTTTATTGGATCTTGTTTGAGTATTTACGAGAACATCTGTATTCTCCAGGGCACATTAAAAACCCTGGAGATCAGAGAGATCCTGCGGGATGGACACGGGGCAGCTTGAATGAATCATAGAGCATAAGGCTAAGCTCTGGATGGATGATTATTCATTAGAAACAGCACAGATGGTTGAGTATTAGGAGAAGTTGACTCCACACAGGGCTATGTTTGTTTAATCCATCACTGAAGTGCAGAAGGAAAAGCTCTACGGGTCTGAGATTACATTATCATCCAGACATCCTGCTAAAATATCAAACTACAGCTAGGCAAAGACAACTGGGCAATGACTGCAGCATTTTCGGCCAAAGGACTGTCTAGTATTTAATCGCCAACTGTACAATTACAGTCAGGGGTGTAATATTGATAGTAATTCTGTTGTTTTCTATTGGAATTGTGTTCTAGCGAAAGAGTTTTGATCAACAAGGGGGAAGGTAGAGGACAGAATTTTCGTTTTAAATTAAACTGAATAAGCCACGGAAGGTGCGATTGAATGGATACACAATTTTAGACAAGCAAATATGTGAGTTTTGCCACTGACAAACACTTGTTTTACCGACAATATTAGTGACAATTATTGATCAGACATACAATTAAAAAATCTGAGTGCCACCATTTAAATGACACTTCTACCGACTATTTGAAACCCCATTGAACCTACATTTAGAAGACTTCCAGGACCTCAGTATCAGTTACTGTATATGGTGTCCTAATAGATAAATCCTATAAATCTGTGCTCGTCCTTGCCCAAGTCATAACATTAAGCACACAGATATTGGAAGTTAGTTTGAGTCAAGTTTAAATTTTAAATCTGCTTCCATTATTCATTGATGAAAAGAAAAAAAAAACATTTACCTTGGTGTTCACATTTCCATGGATAATGGATGGCAGACAGTTGTAGACAGTGTTTCTCACTCGCACTCGCTCCGTCCCAAACTTCAGGAGAACTTCATCTAAATTCAAAATAAGATTTGTACATTTTGACATTCAGTACTTCGGCTAAATAATTCTGTTGAGTGTTTTATTGTCCAGCAAGCAAAAAATTGTAAGCCTGAGCCCTGAGACTAGACTTCTCCTTGACTAGGCCAAATGATTTGAGGTGTCACTCATGTCTGCAGTAAAAAAGGTGTGTGATGGGTTATGCTTATGGATTTGTTCAAATCCCTATATGCCTGCCTACCAAGAAGAGCTAAAACTAAGACCAAAATTGTTATGATGAAAAATCGAATTGTTACTTTTATTGGATCTTGTTTGAGTATTTACGAGAACATCTGTATTCTCCAGGGCACATTAAAAACCCTGGAGATCAGAGAGATCCTGCGGGATGGACACGGGGCAGCTTGAATGAATCATAGAGCATAAGGCTAAGCTCTGGATGGATGATTATTCATTAGAAACAGCACAGCTGGTTGAGTATTAGGAGAAGTTGACTCCACACAGGGCTATGTTTGTTTAATCCATCACTGAAGTGCAGAAGGAAAAGCTCTACGGGTCTGAGATTACATTATCATCCAGACATCCTGCTAAAATATCAAACTCTACAGCTAGGCAAAGACAACTGGGCAATGACTGCAGCATTTTCGGCCAAAGGACTGTCTAGTATTTAATCGCCAACTGTACAATTACAGTCAGGGGTGTAATATTGATAGTAATTCTGTTGTTTTCTATTGGAATTGTGTTCTAGCGAAAGAGTTTTGATCAACAAGGGGGAAGGTAGAGGACAGAATTTTCGTTTTAAATTAAACTGAATAAGCCACGGAAGGTGCGATTGAATGGATACACAATTTTAGACAAGCAAATATGTGAGTTTTGCCACTGACAAACACTTGTTTTACCGACAATATTAGTGACAATTATTGATCAGACATACAATTAAAAAATCTGAGTGCCACCATTTAAATGACACTTCTACCGACTATTTGAAACCCCATTGAACCTACATTTAGAAGACTTCCAGGACCTCAGTATCAGTTACTGTATATGGTGTCCTAATAGATAAATCCTATAAATCTGTGCTCGTCCTTGCCCAAGTCATAACATTAAGCACACAGATATTGGAAGTTAGTTTGAGTCAAGTTTAAATTTTAAATCTGCTTCCATTATTCATTGATGAAAAGAAAAAAAAAACATTTACCTTGGTGTTCACATTTCCATGGATAATGGATGGCAGACAGTTGTAGACAGTGTTTCTCACTCGCACTCGCTCCGTCCCAAACTTCAGGAGAACTTCATCTAAATTCAAAATAAGATTTGTACATTTTGACATTCAGTACTTCGGCTAAATAATTCTGTTGAGTGTTTTATTGTCCAGCAAGCAAAAAATTGTAAGCCTGAGCCCTGAGACTAGACTTCTCCTTGACTAGGCCAAATGATTTGAGGTGTCACTCATGTCTGCAGTAAAAAAGGTGTGTGATGGGTTATGCTTATGGATTTGTTCAAATCCCTATATGCCTGCCTACCAAGAAGAGCTAAAACTAAGACCAAAATTGTTATGATGAAAAATCGAAATAACTTTGGCATCCCTTTATTCATCAGCTATGATGCAATATATGAAAACAAAATGAATGATTGTTTACTAGCAAGTTTCATACACCATATTGGATTGACTCACCCACGGCTCCGTTCAAATTCTGGAAAATCTCACACTTGTGGTCCAAGGTCATATTAAGTTTTTCCTAAAATAAAGAACAGAACACGCTCGAGTTTGTGTAAAAGTGACCGTGTGACCTTTGTCCTCGTGTAGACTGTTTATAGTTGTGTATTTTTAACCAGTCTGTTTGCTTTTGAGTGGTATGATACATTTGCAGGCGTTAAAAAATCTGAGTGCCACCATTTAAATGACACTTCTACCGACTATTTGAAACCCCATTGAACCTACATTTAGAAGACTTCCAGGACCTCAGTATCAGTTACTGTATATGGTGTCCTAATAGATAAATCCTATAAATCTGTGCTCGTCCTTGCCCAAGTCATAACATTAAGCACACAGATATTGGAAGTTAGTTTGAGTCAAGTTTAAATTTTAAATCTGCTTCCATTATTCATTGATGAAAAGAAAAAAAAACATTTACCTTGGTGTTCACATTTCCATGGATAATGGATGGCAGACAGTTGTAGACAGTGTTTCTCACTCGCACTCGCTCTGTCCCAAACTTCAGGAGAACTTCATCTAAATTCAAAATAAGATTTGTACATTTTGACATTCAGTACTTCGGCTAAATAATTCTGTTGAGTGTTTTATTGTCCAGCAAGCAAAAAATTGTAAGCCTGAGCCCTGAGACTAGACTTCTCCTTGACTAGGCCAAATGATTTGAGGTGTCACTCATGTCTGCAGTAAAAAAGGTGTGTGATGGGTTATGCTTATGGATTTGTTCAAATCCCTATATGCCTGCCTACCAAGAAGAGCTAAAACTAAGACCAAAATTGTTATGATGAAAAATCGAAATAACTTTGGCATCCCTTTATTCATCAGCTATGATGCAATATATGAAAAAAAAAATGAATGATTGTTTACTAGCAAGTTTCATACACCATCTTGGATTGACTCACCCACGGCTCCGTTCAAATTCTGGAAAATCTCACACTTGTGGTCCAAGGTCATATTAAGTTTTTCCTAAAATAAAGAACAGAACACGCTCGAGTTTGTGTAAAAGTGACCGTGTGACCTTTGTCCTCGTGTAGACTGTTTATAGTTGTGTATTTTTAACCAGTCTGTTTGCTTTTGAGTGGTATGATACATTTGCAGGCGTTTTATAAGTGCATGTGGTCAAGTTACAAGCACATTTATGTTCTCACAGAGTGCAAAGACTTTCTCCACTCACCCTCTGAAGTGGATCCACGTAGACCTTTGTGTAGAATAGCTGATCATCATCATTATCATGAAGGTCCCACTGGTTCACAATCTTCTGAATGTATTGAGCATAGCCAATAAAGCCTGTGAAGGACATCACAATGAATCGAAATAACTTTGGCATCCCTTTATTCATCAGCTATGATGCAATATATGAAAACAAAATGAATGATTGTTTACTAGCAAGTTTCATACACCATATTGGATTGACTCACCCACGGCTCCGTTCAAATTCTGGAAAATCTCACACTTGTGGTCCAAGGTCATATTAAGTTTTTCCTAAAATAAAGAACAGAACACGCTCGAGTTTGTGTAAAAGTGACCGTGTGACCTTTGTCCTCGTGTAGACTGTTTATAGTTGTGTATTTTTAACCAGTCTGTTTGCTTTTGAGTGGTATGATACATTTGCAGGCGTTTTATAAGTGCATGTGGTCAAGTTACAAGCACATTTATGTTCTCACAGAGTGCAAAGACTTTCTCCACTCACCCTCTGAAGTGGATCCACGTAGACCTTTGTGTAGAATAGCTGATCATCATCATTATCATGAAGGTCCCACTGGTTCACAATCTTCTGAATGTATTGAGCATAGCCAATAAAGCCTGTGAAGGACATCACAATGTTTTTACGGACTGCGTGTTGTAAAAAAAAGTATAGGATGTAATGGAATGTGAGAAGCATTGGCATTATGGGATGCCTGGACACATCAGTTCCAATTTCAATTACATCTCCTTTGAGAGGCTTAAATCTCACTTCCAATTTTGCTGTGGTTCCTCAAACCCTCAGAACAGTTGGATGTCTGGCAGAAGCATCTGACCAACCAGCAACAAGTGTTGTGTGTGGCCACGTCTGGCCACGTCTAACCTCAGATGGCATAGACTTTCTACATTTACTCAAGACGGAGGACTGTAATCAGTATAGGACCTCAGCTATGTGCTGTCTCTCTGTGTTTCTGTAGCAACCTGCTTACGGATTTCTCATCATTTTCCTGAAGCTCTGACCACAGATGAAAATTGTAGGGCTTGGAGCCTTCAAACCATCATTTGGCAGGAAACAGGAACTATGTTAGGTTGCCGCCCTAGACTATTACATTTTCAACTCCTAATAACCTTATTCTATAGCATACATTCATAGGCTGATCTAAAAACCATATTCAACACTGTTTCCAATTACTTTAGTAGGAATTCTTGACAGTACAAATCTGTTCAGAAGCACCATCACATCTCAAATGATTTTACTGGAAATCTAGCGCTTGAGATCTTTCAGTCCACCAAAAGCCAAAAGAAGATAAACAAGGCAATTTTTCAGGCGAGTATGATTTAAATGTTAGTTCATTCGCTAAATTAGCGGATCGTCTTTTTCTGAAGGCGGTCACCTCAGATGTGGTGACATGAATCTTGTTTTATTACAGTGCAATAAAGTAAAACCCTTGACATAATGCCCAGGTTAGAAACCAATAGTTGAAGCCAGATGTAAGGCATTATGACATGTGGTTTTAATCTAGAATCCAGAATGTTTTTTTGTTTTTTTTTTCCCACCGATTGAAACAGTGCTACTATCAACAAACTTGAATTTGGGCAAAGTAAGGGATGATTGGAAAGAGACTGGCCGTGCCGTGCAGTCTTTCTTATTTCCACAAACACACTGGTCCACATGACATCTCTAGTTCAACCGAAACAAAACAGTAGCCACCGCAATCTACGGAGCAGCCGAAGGTATAAAACCAACCTTCAATTTTGTATGCACAGACCATCGAACAGGAAGTCCAACACAAACAAACTTGTCCTGTTAATGACACAGACTCAACTCCCTTACAGGACACGACACAAGTCAAAGTGACCACCACAGTCAAAGCAGTAATTGACCAGATGAAAATAGACGAGATCAGGACTACAGAGTTTAAGACGAGCAATGACCACAGGGTTTTTGAGTAAAGAGGGGCTGACATTAGTGTTCTTCAATGGAGAGACTGAGTAAGATGGATGCACACGTACACACTCTCAAATGAAAGCACCATTCATGAAGACCCCTGAATGAATAGTGCACTATGCCTGGTGGCCCTCAGGAAATTCCACAGGGTGAGTGACCGCCGCTTGCCAGTTTACACAGAAAACATTTTCTCTATCATTTTGTACCGATAATGGAATTCCGCTGTTTGTCCTTTGCTCTCTCCTAAATCACCCTGCTTGCATTGTTCTAATTCCTACCAGACAAAACAAACCCACACAGAAGTGTCTGGTGCAAATTGTGCTATGATGATATGGCTAATATGGCAGCTGGCCATGACCTATCCCAGTGATATGCTGCCTGAGCCGAATTTGTAAAGACTGACCTCCCAAATGCATGAAGAAACATGTGAATGTGTATACATAACATGGAATGCTAAAAGAGTATAAACCATTAGGTGTTATAAGCTGTGAAGAACCAAACAAATGCACAAATTAAGTGTGCACATTCTTAACATACCAGTGCCTTTAAACCAGATTCAGCCAGCCTGTTATATACACGCTAGCCATTTAACTAACTTGCTCAGCAAAATTGTCTTTAACTGTTGCTCCAATGTGGCAAGCTAGACACATTTGTGTTCATATACATGAATGGTTTGTTTCAGACTTTTAGTTAACTTACAAAATGCAAAATGCATTTACAATTGAAAAACAAGCCTATGGTAAAAAAAAAGTCTAATAACAGGGACTAGTTTTACAGTCAAAGTGTAACCAGATGTCTGCACAATGAATAAGCTACCAGACTGGCAGTAAGGATGTTTACATGTAAAATGAAAGTTGTCAACCTGTTATATGCAAATATCAAATCTGGTGAAAAACCTGACAATTTCAAAATACTGTATCACAAAAATGCAGCTGATTTTTCATACTCGTCAGCATTTTTTTGTAGCCTTCTATGCATGTAGACACATTCATGACAGACTTATGCCTTAAACACTTTATTCAAATGAACATAGGCCTTAATGTTTCTAGCTTTCATGTATGGTGTCAAAGGCATTTACTGTACATGACTTTGCATGACCATTTTTGGGTTTTTAAGCATGATCAGTGTACAATTGTGCATGTAAATGTTTTGAGACAATATGAGAGCTGTGGAAATCCAACTGAACTGAACTGAATGAATTGAAATCTCAATAACACAATGGTTTTGGGCCTGCAAAACCTTGATGTGTAACAAGTATGAAGTAACTTTCACATCAAAACAGAACATGCTATAGAGTTGGTATTTTTAATTTTTACACACCTCCAGAGTTAAGAAAGCGTTTCCCATTGCGAACAGAAGGATACTTCTCTGCCAGTCGAGAATCTGGCCAGATGATTCCTTCAGCAGCGAACACCAGCTTATGATTGGTCTGCTGGAACTTTCTGAAAATCTCCTCAGGTCCACCAGCAAAGATGAGGTCATAACTGAAGAGAGAAAAGGAGGAGTATATTAGTTATCCTGTTCACTGCACTTTCCAGCTGATCAGCCATTTTCACATTCAAGACAATGTTTGCTAATCCACATCCAGTTTATTTAACCAGCTATGTATATTTTAACTGAACTCCTAAGAGGGAAGGGAGGGTATTCCATAGGCATTTAGGTATTCTATTTCAGACACTATTAATATGCCTGGTAACATTAGTAACTATAGATGTCATCAGAGGAAGTAAACTGAGGGATGCACCATGATTTCCATCTCACACAAGTCATTTCCCTTTTTCTAGCATGAAATACAGAGTTCTGGCATGAAACTCTAGATGGCGCAGTCCGATAGGTCTAACTCAATCTGACCTAATGACATCATCACATGGCACAGCTGATTGGTTCTCTCCTGTATTGGTAGCTAATTAGCTCGCTGCTCAACATTCAAATATATGATTAGTGCTTGCAGTAGCAGTGCAGCTTGCTTCAGAAACCCTCCGCCTTCCCCAGCTCCACCTGTATAGATCTGCTATGAGGTGATTCATGTATGCTATATGGGGCTATTTCATGTATGTTATATTTGCAGCAGCAATATTTCTTACATGCTCACAGCAGCATGTTGTGGATGTATTGGCAGTAGCAAGTCGTGGTACTTGCTCTGCTGCAGCAGCAGCAACAGCAGCAGCATAGCAGATCTATTCTGCCAAGACCAAATACATTAACATTGTCATGTACATTACCATGCCAATCCCTCCGAGAGTTGTCATGACAGAATTAAAATTAATCTCTGGAATATGTGACATAGCTTCAACGTGGCAAAATGGTCTGAACTACAGCTAACTTCACATGTACGTGTGAAGTTAACTTGAAGTAAACACTAAACTTTTTCTACTTTGTGATCATAATAATCGCTCATTTCTGCAGAACACACCTAGACCTGCACCACAAGAACTACAAAAAAAATGTACCTCTCGCCACAATTTCATTATAAATTGACATGCCGTAATTTCCCTTGAATTATCAAGTTAAATAACAGGCCATTTATTATGGTTGATTATCATAAATTGAGTTAAAAGCCACCATTTCGGCAAGAACATTGGTTATTAAGGTAGGTCTACAAAATTGTTGAACGAATGCCCAATCGTTTTGCCTTTACACAGAGTTTTGTTGTTTCCCATTGAGTTGGCAGTGATTTATCCCACTGAGGCTGTTGAAAACGTATAGTATAAGCATGATACATTTGTTATAGTTGATGAAAAGATACCTTTTACATTGTACAAAGCTATGCATTTAACCAGTCATTTTGTCTATATCTAGACAAGGTATTTTCCTGGCATAATTTACTTTCAATTACAGGTAATTACTAAAAAGTATTTTGTGGCAAATTAGAGTCTATTCCCAGCTAGTCTCCACATAGAGAAATGAATACTGGATCTTTGTCTGTCTCTGGTATATAGACCAGTATTTTTACTGTCCAGTAAATCTGATGCCATTTAAATTGGGGGCTTGTCACAAATGAGATTGTTAAGAAAGGTTTTGAATCCTGGGCTATCCTGGCAATCATGATCCTGCATATTTCAGACTGTTCATACTTTACCCACTATTAGTAGTTGCCATGCAGTGCAGTTTAGAGTTATCACAGGTTTGATAACATAGAGCCCAAAGTGGTGCTAACCCAAAAGTGAGAGATTTAGGTTAAATGTTTAATGTCGCTTAAAACACAAATCAATGTTAACCCAAGATTTAGTGTGGTGAGAAGTCTGTTAAAAGTACACCAGCTGTACATCTTGGCTGAGCACCCTGAAAAAGAAATGTGTTTCATGTCAGAATATCTAGCTAATTAATTTTACTAAGCGTTAAATCAGGTAGAAAAGTCAAGTCAAGTCACCTTTATTTATATAGCGCTTTTAACAATACAGATTGTGTCAAAGCAACTGAACAGCGTTAATTAGGAAAATAGTGTGTCAATAATGCAAAATGACAATAGTAAACACACATTTTTCAGTTAAAGACCGTTCATCATCCAGCTCAGTTCAGTTTAAATAGTATCTTTGCAATAGGCCATATTTGTGTATCACACTTTTTAAAATGTGATCTTAGCTGGTTTAAATTGTACACATTTGGTTTAGCTGACCATCTGAAAAGTTCTCAAATCCTCTATAAGCCCATAAATCTATTAAAAGAAACCAGCTTCTTGGCCATTTAATATCATCCAACCATTTTTTTTCAACCCTTCAAATGACAAGCACATTACCTGTCCACAAATAAGACCACCAAGTCCTCTTGGTCAGCCAGAGACTCCATGGCTTCCTTTAGCAGTCTAACCTTCTGGCCGCCACCGATGGATCGACCCACATCACCTCCCTTCCACTCCTCTCCCATCCCCAGCACCTGCGTTCAGAATGTACCAGTTCAAACAGAATCTCAATCAACATACTAGGGTTGTGACAGTGAGGACATTTTCCCACCGGTTAATCGACGTGTGACAACACCAGTAATACCGGTATCACCGTGGGGGCGGGGGCGTTCCCTCTTTTCCTCGCTTTCCTTCGCTTTTAAATAGCTTGTAAAAGCTGCGTGCGCATTTTACTTTCACTTTCAAATAGCGGCAATTCGGCTTAAAGCAATTGTTTGTTTTTAGTTTGTTTGAATTTCCCCTCTTTTCCACGCTTTCCTTCACTTTTAAATAGCTTAAAAGCGCAGTGCACATTTTACTTTCAAATTAGTGGCAGTTCGGCATCAATTGCTTGAATGCAACAACAAAATACAATGTCAAACTCACTTTAGCCTATATATAAAACATATAACTTTTATTAACAAAACAAATAAAAATACACCATGCTATAGGGCAGGCTATGCCTAATATAAAATAATCAATAACTTACATAAAGTTTAAATAGGTATACAAAACTGGAAATAGGCTAAGTAAACATTTATAATATATAACCAAATAAATAAGAAACATAGAATGTTTATTAGCAAAACGAGTAAGAAAGCTTGGAGGCACAGCATACACCTTGATGTAAAAAACAAATAAATGACACAAAGTTTAAATAAAGTAAAAATCAGCAAACAATGTGGAACCAATTAAATAAGAAATGAATGTTTAAAAAAACTTCCAAAGTCACCTTAGATAAACGACAAAAGTCAACAGGCTTTTCAAAATCCAAAATATTGCCAAACAAGCACTTTTGCATATCGTTTCTAAACTAAATCATCTGTCATCGTCTTTTCTGTCTCACCTCACCTCACTCTTCTTGTCAGTCGCTCTCCTCACTGGATAAATTAAATCTGATCTGTGATGCGACTGTCGTTCGGCATGCTGCATTGAGCATTAATGCAGCATGCATTAATTATAGTGTCTGTTCTTTTACTGAACTAAATAATTTTTATTACTATCAAAAATCAAAACGACGGTGGGGGTCGGTGCCACGGTGGGCAAGTGACATAACCAGTGTTGCGGCTTAACACCGGTATCACCGTCAACACCGTCTATCGCGGCAAGCCTACAACATACTCCTATCAGCTTGAAGAAATGAAGCATCCATCAGGTGAGAAGCAGTGGTCTTGCACAATGGGATGAAAGCGTGGTCGAACCTTGCATTGTGCGATTGGTAAAACGGAGAAATAAACCTTACCTTCACATTGAATTTGAAGTAGTTTGCTGACTGCATGAAGCGGTGGAAGCCATCCGTCTCCTGCGTTGCAACAGCAAGTACAAGTAGCTTTTCTGGTGACAAGAAAATTGAGGAATAAAAAGTGTATGTTAGAAAAAACGAGGAAATGTCTGGCAAAGTAAAACAGTATGACCTTTTTTTGAGCGTATAGTGTTGAAGTGTAGAAACACTACTATTCCTGGATTCTATTCCTCAAAAACCTTAATATATTTAGGATTCTTTAAGTTAAAGTTATCCAAAACCCCGCCATTCCCTAAAGAGCCTCTTTACCAAAATATATATGTTGCTTTTTGCCTACAGTATGAAATAGAGGGTATCTTGTTACTCCAAACCAAACCTCAAACCTATGTCAACACTCGCAAAACTGATTCCCAAAGTTCATCCCTTCCTCTTGTGAAAATAAATGCACAGTAAAGTTAAAATCACCATGATTTGAAATGGTTTGGGCAGGATATGTTATATAATGAGTAGTAGTGTTACATATGATGGCGGTAACAGTGGTGCTGATGGTTAGTTAGTAGAAGAGGGTCTTAGTTTCGCAAACACCCGCTACATTTCCGCTGGACGTGCCAGTGAACAGGTACAGACTCTCTAGTAGAGCAGTGTGGGAAAATAAATTCCAGACTGGGGTGTGAAGGGCCGGGTAACTTCAATCGTCCGTCATCTCTCAGGTTTGGAAAACAGCCCCAGAGAAATCTTAAGCAAACTTGAGAGAAAGAAACAGGATGTGTGTTCGTCATCTGTAACACTGTAACACAGTGCAGGTTTTACAACAGTACAGATGATAAGAATGTAGATTGAAACCTCAATTGCTCTTGCATGTGATGGTGTGGAATTCAGTAACAATGCTGCAGTGCTTTGATTTACATTTAAAAGTCATTTGGCTCAGGTGATTGGCTTAAATAAACTGGTATAGAGACTGAAGAGCCCAAGTGCAAAGGTGTCACAATACAAGCAGTCATTGCACACTAAACTGGGTTAGAAGAAACTATTTTACCACTGAAATAATAAACACTGCACCTTGAAGTGTTTTCTCAATGGTAGGGACAACATGGGTAGTTTTCTAAATATCTCTGGTGGAAATTGGGTTGAATGGGAAGTCACAACAGGTCAGCGTCTTTTCCTCATTCATGTCAGAGTGGAAAACATTATTAAACATTCAGCAATAAAATGGGGATTTATGGCAGGAGCTACAAGATTTTTCACCTCATAAAATGGCTCAACTGAACCATTTAAGAATAGAGTGTGAATACTCTGTATGTGCTGAGCCAAGCATGGGAATGTAATGCTTTTTTTACAATTCAATTTCTTGGACAGAACATCCTTAAACTTTGCATCCAACTGTCAGCAGTGTAGAGATGGCAAAGAAGTGCGCAAAAATCTAGCCCCACCCTCTTTTCTCATTCAATATTTTGTTTTACATCAGAATACTGAAGTGAGGTCTTAGGGATTTTTTTCCCTAGTCCCTGTTGCCTTTAGCTTGCATTCTGTGACTCTAGGCTCTCATCAGCATGAAATAGACATACGTTTACATACTTTAAAACAATTATTCAGGGGACCTGTTACTGCAAGTTAAAAATTTGAATTTAATCATTTAATTAAACCTCTTAAGTTGCAATTATTATTTTGTTGAGTTGGAAACTTTTTCAGGCTTCTGATTGGCCAACATGGCTTTATGGTTGAGATTATATCACCACCTGTTGGCTTGGCATGCTCTTGACAGTGCTTCATAGCATGCTTTTGCATTTTCATGTGGACGGAGATTTTATTAAATTTTTTTAACGAAATAAGGAAAAACTCTGTTCATAAAAATACCCGTGTACGTGTGGAGATGGTCTTACTTTCAGGGGGTCTTGCACCATTCTACTAAATAATTGCTTTTAAAATGTAGAAAAAGTGCACAGCTTCCATGAAAGCATACATAAATATGAGTAAAGGTATAGGAAAAGAGCAAACATATTCTGAAGAACTCATAACAATGGACGAACACTTCTCAAGAAAAGCCTGAAAACCTTGGAGACTGTCACAATGCAGGCTCCATATTTTTTTATTTTTGGGTTTTTTTTGGTTTTTGAACTGGAGCATGCTCCATCTGATTCCCGTCTACGCTCCAGACAGAAAGTCCTGGTTTCTTTCACATACCTAAGCTATATACTCTTCTATAACATGATGCAAGTGTTTAATCTGCTCATCTGGATGCTTAGACGGTAATGTTATATCCAACGGAAGGCTGCTAGAGAGTCATGCTGGTCACGCCATGTGTACACGGCATCCTATAAATGTCCAGGTCTCATTGAGCCTTGTTGTCTGAGAAAGCCCCTTTCTGTGAGCTGGCTGGGTTTAAAATAACAGCTGGGGAAATCCATATAGTGAAATTGTCTGGACTGCTACTCTTGATGAAATGTGATATCTGCCAACCTTCCTCTAGTTCTTGTTCGGTGGTTACGTCAGCCTTAAACATGGGTCATGTTAAAGAAAATTTTAAGTCTTTAATCATTGTAAAATCCCATGGGCAAGAAAAAATATCTTTGTTTATTTTACACTGAGATTAAATAGTAACCACATAGTGACTTGCTCAAGACCCCAGTAAACTCAAACGCATCTTCTCTAGGAGTTTCAGAAAGATGTGCTCAGATTTGCCAAATTCCAAGTGTTTTATCAAAAGATCTCAATATGAACTCAGACATTTCTTATAAAATTATTGCTAGTCCAAATAATCTTGGCTATGATAGTCATCAACTTTTAGCTCAATTTTCTTACTGTATCCCAGAAAGTGTCCAATTTGTATATATTTTATTTCTCTTATGAGATTTTAGGATAATTATTTCATGCAATATTGATACTTCAATGAAACATAACTAAGGTCTCAATGAAATATTTAAAGCTTTGAGAAGCAAGCATTTTAATTTTCCTCTGGGATTTGTATATCACAGACAAATCAATGAATGAATGTTTAAACAAGATGTACTGAACTATGTTTCTTGGTCAGAATCAACATCCAAATGTCATTATTTTCTGAACACGCCAATGTTTCTTTCATTCGCATATACACCGTTCTTTGCCAATCTAGAATTTATTACACCTTTGGGACTGGTGTTTCTGCAGACGCGCATGCATCTTTCAATAGTTTCTCCTTGTACTTGTAATAAAGTTTCACACTAATCCATTTCAGTGTATAATCAATCACAACACAATATCCATCTGACTATTCCATTGTGGCTATAGAGATCTAAAAAGCCACACCAAAAATGAACCTGATTTATTTTGTTCTTTTGCAGAATTTTGGAGGCTATTTCCCAGCATGTCTTGAAACATTTGCATAATGTATGAATGTGGGCGATCGGGGGTTGATAGTTACATTCTCTCTTTGTAGTCTTCCCCTAAGGCCAATAAATAAACACCAATTGCTTTGACCTGCAATTGACCTAACCTTTGCTCGATCCCTTAAGACAGGGGTAGGCAAGTTCGGTCCTAGAGAAATGCAGTCCTGCAGAGTTCAGCTCCAACCCTAATCAAACACACCTGAACAAGCTAATCAATGTCTTCAGGACATTGGCTCTCTAGGACCGAACTTGCCTACCCCTGCCTTAAGACAACAGCAAAAAAAACTAACCGCAGGAGCCAGCAAAGTGTACCCTTTAGCCACTGTCTTCCTTTGTGCTCGAGGGATTGAGGGCTGGATCCAGTTTACCAAACTTAGAGAGAATCAGTTGCTATGGCCACAAATATACACACACAAGTATGTGATGACACACAACTCCTGCAGTGATGGTCGAACGGCACCGTCTGCATTCATGTGAAGATAAGCAGGTGACTTAGACATTCCACTCAGCTCAATTTTCCAAGAAGATTTGTCTTATGTGTTGTGCCATTTCTCATACTGTTGCAGAGTAGTTGTTGCATTGATGTGCGACTGCAAAGGTGTTCTGGTTGCTGTTGTTGTTGTTTTTTGGGTGGGTTGGCAGATGATTGCTAGGGTCTTCTAGTTGCTGTGTTTTAGGTGGATGCTTGTTTCTGGGTGGAATATAGGGCGTTTCTCAGTGGTTCTGGATGGTTGTTAACTTAAGCCCTATTCGCACAAGATTAGTATTATCTGGGGACCTTGTGTGATTTTGAAATTACCCCCCCCCCCACACACACACACACACAGACATCTGAATTGCATGTGGTGCATTCTCACGGGATAAGCGAAGCCTGTGATTTTACTCGAATTTACTGACTTATCTCCCGGATACCCGGAAGTCAACGCTTTGAGAGTCCTGTTCTATGGTCTGGTTAGATGGATTAAAAAAAAAAAGAAACTAATAGTTTTGTGCCCTGTGTCATTTACATTTCATCAGATTAAAATAATATCTCAAGCTTTATGCTTGATTTATTTGTAACACATTATCCTCAAAACCTTTTCAGCTTTCTCTTTCTGCAAATTGCATGGTGTAGCGATATGATGACAGCACCCAAAATACTATCAAACACTCCAACGTAGCTCCATTCGCCGCGAAAGATGGATAAAAAAGCATACAGAAAACAAAAACCTCGAAAAATGATATACGACCCGCCAAATGCTGGCCAAATCACAGAGATGCCGATTCGCACGGGACTAATATTATCACAGAACCTCAGTGTTCGGTGAAATATGGTAGGTCATTTGCGGGGGAATTTTTACTTTACAAATTGCAGACCTGGCCGATTCGCATGGGATTAAGATCACAGACAACCTCCGCAATTATTACAAATGACTGGAGGTCACCAGACTAATCCCGTGCGAATAGGTCTTTAGTTAGGTAAAAATAGAAAGTTTCATCACTCTAGAAAATCATCATTAATTGAATTATTTTAGGTATTGGTTGGGGCATTTTGGATATAATACTTCAAGTATGGTGACATTTACCGTTATTTGGCAAATTTTCACAGTCAAAATTTAGTAATTTGAACGTTTTTTTTGCCCCTTTCTGAATTTTTTTGTAATGTGACCACACCTTCAGAGTCAAGGGTATGAGCAATAGTCATAGTGATGCTTGATCAAATAAATCTAACTTATGAGTTATTAACCTATTTCTTTCTCAAAAACTACTTTTCAAATGGTAAATAATGAATATTGCCTCTTGATGTGTCTTTAATCTTGAAATGTCTGCCATATGGAGAAAGTCAGCTTCACAGAAACAAAGCGGAAACTTTCAGCAGCTGTGATTAAAAATAAATAAAATAATGCACTCTCTCAAGATGCATTTTCTTTGATTCATGTAGCCTATACGTAAAACAGAAAGAATTACAAAACCAGAGGAATCATATTATGGGAGTGTGCACCCTGTAGGGCAATAATGTTTGTTGATGGAGTCTACAGATAGTGATTAATGTAGTGCAAGCAGACATTCAGTGCAGACAGAGAGGTCACTGTCCAACACTCTGAAGAATTTCATTTTCCGCCCCTTGATGTAGGAACACTGTTTTTAGAGCTGAAGCAAAAAATTGTGGAAAAAGCAGTTTGGACTTTTAAAAGATGGCTATTTTGAATGTAGTACATAGTCTGGGCCGACCTGAGGAGACAGTGTTTGACAGATCAGTGTGATCAACTGCTGAGGTCCACAAGAATGCTGCTTCAGACAGGCAAGCTGTTTCTTTCTCAGAGAGGAGCTTTAAAAGTGTTCCTGGGCACACAGTCAGGGCTGTCTATGTAAACTCTCACACTGCCCTGGAAGGCCATCGTAGTGCACTCAGAACTTCTACCACACAGAACACTCAAGTCTCAGTGTAGGAGTCAAAGAAAAAGTGAAAGACTCCCCTTTAAAGAAACTATTTTCTCAAACTATATGACTGGGAAACTAGAAAACACACTTTGTTTTCTCTGTGGCCCTCTCAGCTTATCTTCCAAGTAATGCTTGGGGCTCTGGAGACAAAGTATGTTTAAGAAAGCTCTCAGCCTACAATAACATGGTCTTTCACACTTTTTTGGTCAGCTCTGGTGGGTCAACATACATCAGGTGGGTATATCATACTGGGGGAATGAACTAAGGATAAATTGTGCTTGCTAATAGCATCCTATAAAACATACTGTCTGCATGGTGTCATTTTCCATTTGGTAAGCCGATTCTGATTGCTTAAATGTGGAGGATATTGCAGGCTGCTCATTTATCTGGGAATATGCAGCATCACTCCACCACTACAATCCAGGCACTTAAATCTGCTTTTTAAAATGCAGAAAGTTCTTGACTACCTAGCACATCTGCGTATATGTCTGTTAATGATGCCCTTATCCATTATTTCTTCATTATATGATAAATTACTGATACTATAAAGAATATAAAATGCACAAAAATGTATATTTCGCAGGTGGTACTGTACAACGGCAAAACAGAGCTCACTTTTGTGGATGTAAGCGCAATTTACAATAGGCCTAATTTGCATAGAAGGGAGGCATGTTTGCACTAATAAAGAATGGCATTGATTTAATTGGCATGATATGCATGGTGCAGTGTTTTTACTGGACTTTTAAAGCTTGGGTTAAAATATACACCTTATTGCTGGAGATGTAAGGTTGAAGATGGTGATTTAGATCATGTTCTGTGGTTTTGTACAAAAACTTCTGGAAAAGAGTTCATGAACACATTTTCTTGGTTTTAGATTTTCATATTTTGCGATGTCCTTGACTGTATATATTAGGTAGGTGGACAGACAATGACATAAGAGACAAACACATAAAATCCTGGTTCCAAACCAGTTTGATAATTGGCAGACAGTTTAATTTATTTTATTTTTTTCAGGAATGGGTAGCAAGCTAGAGTGGCTGCATCAAAAAATAAAATGCCTCATAAGCAGACGCACAAGCTAAACCAATGCTATAAAAAAATGGTCAAAGTACTTAACCTATCTGGAAATGGAACAGTAATAACTGTGTGGGAGAAACATGCTGATTGTGAAAGTGTAAATCTGATGTGTTATAAGATTGAATTTCATTTATTAATTTTATTTCAGTGTATTTTATTTATCTAGTTTTCTCATCATTATATATTGAAGGATGTTTTAATTGTATTTAATTATAACCAAGTTGTGAACCTTAAAGCCTTAGTTGGGGAATAGTTTACGATGAGTTCCCTTTCAGTCGGTCACTCTCGACGTCACATCGGATGACCGACGAATTGGAACGTGACGTCTCCGTTACCATACGTAACCGAGACGTTTCTTAACAGGGTAAAATGTTGATTCTGAGTTACTGTATTATTGTCACGAATCGGGCCTCTGTGGCTCTCTCCGACGGCCTCCGGAGGGCACCCTCTCCCGAGTACTAACGTTCATGGACTACATTTCCCAGACACCCCGTACCTGGGGCTGATTACAGCTTTCCTATTTAAGCAGCTCCCAGACTCTCTATGGTTGCGAAGTCTTGTATTGCCCCGGCTACATTTCTGAGCGTTTATCCCCTATCTTGTCATCTCTTGTGTATTACCTCGGACTGTTCTTACTAGT